GCTTTGATTTATTTGATGAAAACATGGTTGTCGTGTGTAACGCTGGCTGCTGCAGAACTGAAAGCAATGAGAAGTCTCGTCTTTTAGCAGCATCAAATGTGAAATGGCAAGTGTGCTGCCTTTAGGATGTAGCAACAGGCATCCTTTGAGCTTGTTCAGCTCTTTGGCTTCGTTTTTGTGTTTGATTATAGCTGTGGCTGAGGGTACTGTAGACATGCAACTGGGTCAAGCTGTCTTGTACGGAAGCCATCAACAAATTTGTGGTGGTAGCTCATTACAGCTTTTGAGGTCTGGAGCATCCCTGGTGGCTGGGAGGCCAGCCCTGCAGCTGGGGCTCTCTTTCCACCCGTGTGCTGGTGCTGGTGTGTCTCTGGTGGGGCTGTGGGGTGGGGGTGCGTGGTACCGGAGCGGGTGCAGAGCTGTGGGGGTGAGCACTTCCCCCACTCAGCCCAGCCCTCTCCGCTCACGAGCTTCCAGGCACCTTGTTGGTGCTGTCCTGCAGCTTCTGTGGAATAACAAAAGCAAATAAATACAATGGTGTTCTCCTCCCAGGAGGCATGGGAAAGAGCTGGTGAGAGCAGAGATCCCTGACGGATGTGTGCCCTTTGACAGCCCTTGACACGTCCAGAGCTGTGGTGCATTTTGCAGATTAAAGGGCAGATGCTCAGGGCTGGATCCAGGCATTAGCAGGGTAGGGACTGACTCTGTTGACAATTCAGAGTTTGCTCTTTGAGGGACTGTCCTGGATTTGTTTAGCATAGAGTTAATTGTTCTTAGGGAACTGAGAGGGCTATGTGAGGATATTCAGGAAAGTTGATTTAAATTAACTTTTTAAAAGCAGATTGTTTAACTTGTGTTAATCTCTCATGTCATCATGAGGCAGCTTGGGATGTCCTAAGGGAGGGTTTACTAGGGATTGGTTCCACATTCAGTGAAATGCCTAATTTCATCAAAGCTACATAACTCCTCCTTATCACAAAAAAAGGATGTAAAATAGTACTAGTGCTAGCAAATTTTCAGTCATTTAGTGATTGTTCAGATGTTGGAGGTGCTGAAGAGCAGATAAGAGATGGCTGAATACCTGACTGCTTGTTGAACACCCTGCAATACTGCTGGCTATACTGCTACAATGCTTAGTTTTGGAAAAAAAACACAAAAAAACAGGTAAATTGTTATAAAGGGTTTTAATGACAACCGTTGCAGAGAGCAGATTTACTTTCTGAAATGAGATTGAGCTGCTCACAACTACCAGAAAGTATAGGTCTGTACACTCTCTGAAACAAATAGGAGCTCTACCTCCTTTTCAAGGGGAAAAAAATCTTATCTCTCACTTTAGAAGTGTAAATTGTAATCTAGGGGGGTTTGTTTCTTTTTATGTTGGTTTGTTTGCTTTTTTTAATAAAGTGGATATCACCTAGATTGTATTATCCAGCAAATTGGTTAAAGTATCCCAAATGCAACTATTGGGCAGCACAAATTAAGTGCAGCCACCATCTCTCTGCTGTCATATATTGGGAACTGTGTGAAGGCTATGTGGTAGTGACTTATGTGCCTGGACACTGTGACGTGAAGAGCTGGACTCTGCAGGGTTTCTTGTGCTGCTCCAACACAAAACTCTCATACCCAGCAGCAGAGATGCTGGGCCCGGCCTGCAGTCAGCCAGGTAAACCCAGCACAGCCCTTCCTGTGTGCTGGAAAACCACGAAGGGCAATGCAAGCATGCTTAAAAAACAATCTCCATGGTCACTGGACTACGTGCTTAATGCATTTTCTGCTGAAGGGCTGTGTGCACACACACCAAAAAAAAAACACCTTTATGTAGCTTTCAGAACAAAAAAACCTCTTGGACCTGCTGCTAACGTGGGTCACACCTGCCTGCGCTAACTTGTGTCCAGTGCCGCTTGTTCCACATCCATGGCACTACCCCTCTATTGCAAGGCTGAATATAATTTTCTGTGGTAGGCTAAATCAATGCTAAGAGTAGACAGAGAAAGCTGAATCCTTTTCTAAAAGTGGATTTTTGTTGTTACTGCATCCAACAATGGGAATTTAATTTTGCCTAAGCTTTGCCAAACTCTTTGCCAGGGAAAAAAGCTGAAGCCTCCCAAATGCTTAGGAAGGATTAGAAGCCTTTTGAAGCTATAATATTGTAGAGATATTTTTTCTGGAGTATGCTGAGTCGTGGCAATCCCATTTCTCAACTTGCTATTCCCACTACTATTGCTGCTGCAAAATTCAGCCTCACGTCCTCTGTCAAAGCAGCTTACCTGTGAAAGCAGGGAGAGACCAAGCTGTTCTGCTTGTGCATAAGAAGTAAGACTAGTAAGGTACAGCACGAGAATATTTTTATTTATAGCTACACGGCCCTGCATGTTTCCAAACAGCATTGGTGCAGTTACAAGCCGCTTGCTGGAGCAGAGTTGCAGATGGTGTTTGTTACAGGGTTAATGGAACAGAAACTAAAAATTTGTGTTTAAAACATAAATCTGTATCACAAGCCACACACTTTAACACCTCAAAGACATGTACCAAAGCCACATCTGTATACTAAAAGAAGGTGGAACAGATTCTTGCATATACGAAAATCATCAGTCACGTAGTTGCAAAATTAATCCTAATGTAGGAAATAGATGTTGAAATTGGATAATCCACCTAGAGACAATATCAAGGAAAGGAAAAGATGAATGGCAAAATTCCCGCTGTGCTTTGTAATCTGAAAATAACAAAACACCCTTTAAAAATATGTGTTTGGGAATAAATAATTGATGTGGTGTATTCATTAGCACTAAATGCATCCGTTGCTTTGATTTCATCCACCAATACAACCTCAGCAAAAGCCTTACTTCATGGGTTCAGCTTCTGTGTTTGAAAACATTTGGTGTTATTTAGGTTATTACTACAATTGTGGTTAAGGAATAAAAAAAGAACTAGCAGGTTGTGCAGTAATGCATGAGTATGAGAAGGCTTTTGCTAACATCACAAAGGAAAATAAACCCACATCCCTGGAAGGAAAAGACAGCTTACAATCACCTGTAAAAAATCAAAAATATCTATTTGAAACAGGGACTCCTGTAGCAATGGGCACAGAGCGCTCTGTGCTGGTGAGGAGGTGGAAACCAATCTGAAGGATGTGGTGTCACGGTGCTGTGCCAGCCCCACACAGGTAAAACTGAAGGTTTAAGACCTTTGAACAAGAATGATTTTGGATGGGTTCAAGTGCCTTTGGCAGGCTGAGTGGGGGAAGCAGGGATGTGGGGCTTGCAGCAGAATCCGTACCTTGTCCTTGGAGATGTCCAGCATGGGCTGCTTGGGGAGTCTGCTGAGCTTGTGAAGGTTTTGTGGCACTTGTTTCTTAGTGCTGCTTTCTCTTAAATGCAAAACTCAGTTCTAAGATTGTAAGTGGTCTGGGCTGGGGCTAGATGATTTTACTTCCAGGAAAAAATTACAGGCAAATGCAGCATCCTCGCTGCTGGGCAGCTGCAAGTGGTGACTGTGCTGAACTCCTGAGCGGTTCGCTTATTCCTGAACGTGATATATGTACATATGTATTGAGATAGATCTAACTTGGGCAATTTGAAATGGATCCAACTCAAGCAGTGATCAAAAAAATTCAATTAACTTTTTCTCCCACATTACCCGTTCACCCGGACCGCTGTGTTTCCCAGTTCTGGTTCAGCTAATGGCAGGTAGTTAAAGCACTGCAATAGTATTTTTCGATAGCTGCCTTGGCAGGGGTGTGGACATACTTCAGTGTGAACTTCATCTGAAAGATGGCATTTCCCTGTAGTTTGATGGGATTTGAAAAGTAACTCTCCATAGAATGTTGCTATTTCATGTTTTCCTTCCCATTTGGGATGACAAATATTGTCAAAATATTGGGATTGCACTCAGAGTTAATGAGGGAGAAGGTTTTTTCATGTTTGTTTGTTTTTAGTTCTTCCTCCAACTGTACTTTTGAGGCTTTCCAACACTTTTCTGTTTGTAGAAGATACCATCTGTCACCTCAGTTCCAAAAGATGGTCCAGGAGGAAGATCCTGTAAAAGGCCCCCAACCAGCTCACCTGACAGAATCACTGGGAACATTTTGGGTAGAAATACACCATACCTGCTACTGCTCAGTGCTGCTGGGTTTCATCCGGTATAAATTAGTGCAGCTGCATGGCTCACAGCCTACACTGACTGGCCTGGACCTTTTGGCTCCACAAATACTGAGATAACCACACTTCCAGAAAGAGCTGGAATCACTCTTGCTTTTGTCGTAACGCTTACAAACTGGCAGATTTCCAGAGCTGAGGCCTTTACCTGGCTGAGTGCTGTGTGTTTGGAGAGTTGTTCTCAGGGTGTTACGAGGACATTATTCTTTGGAGCAATAACTTTGTAAGTTAATAGTTAAAAAAAAAAAATCCCTATAATATGTGTTTTCTCAAGCTTCAGCTGCAATTTCTGTACTTTGAAACATATCCAATATATGCACTTTAAATTTTAGTAGAGCTTTAATTTGTAACTGCAGTTCTTCCTAATCTATTCAGCTTTGCACTGAAAAGTAAAGCAAGAGTTTTGAGGTACAGTATATCCCAAACCAGAGAGAGACCATCTGCAAGTTGATAGTTTCCCTGCTGGAGAATAACCTGTTTGCTTCCTCTCTACATGTGTAGATTGTTTCTTGGAGCTATTCTGCAGCAAGCTGGTCTGGATCTCTGATTTGTTGTTGTTGGGTTTGGACTTTTTGGTTTGGTTGGTTTTTGGCAGAAAGTCTTAAGAACATGGGTTTTGGGGTTTGGGTTTTTTTTAACCTTTTTCTAGAGGCATCCACATTATTCTTTTTCCCAAAACTCCCTGTGTTTAATTAGGGAAGTGTCTTTGAGAAACAGGGAAATGGCTTATCGGTGAAACCAACCTCTGAAGAAGCAGACCGGCAAGTTTTCATTAGAAACAAAACTGCAAGATGATGTTATTTGGCAAAACTCTCCTGTCTGCTCTTAAACTCCCCAAAGCCCTGCTCAGGTGCTGTAGTGAGCCACCAGCACAGCTTTCTGAGCTGTTGGGGTCTCTTCTGGAGGCGGGTGCGGGTTCCCGGCGGGGTCCAGGCTCTCAGCCGCTGCGGGGCTGGTGCCGCCCTGCGCCTGCTGCAGCGCGCGGCAGGACCTGGACGAGGACTTGGTGCTGGAGTTCACGGGGGCTTTGTTGCATCTCAGAAGCGCCAAAAAGCACCTGTAAAACTATCACATGCACATAGAAAACAGTAAAAGAGCAGGAATTTTATTACTCTCACTTTTTGTAACACAGGTCATCTTTATATTCATTTAAGTTCCTGGAATGATCCTGAAAAAATAGATGATTAATAATATTTGGTATTAGAAGTTGAATTGTTTTCTAGAAAAAACAAGTCCTAGAAAAAAAGAAGAATAGAAAAAATAAGTCCTAGTGCTAAGTGGGAGCTCTGGCCAGGATTATGGCCTCTGTAAACCAGGATGGGATGGGGAGCAGGAACTGGGAGAAAGAGCTGCCTGCCTTTCCCTTCATCTGGGCACATCAGAGAGAGAAGAGCAAAACCAAGGAGAATAAAAGCAGTAATTTTGGCCAGTGTTTCATGAACAAGGTGACATTAGCACCACTGCAGAATTTCAGCACTATAGGAGACACGCAAAGTGCTGAAACCTAGATGGGGCATTTTGCTTGCTCATGGATTGGTTTTTGTGTTTATTTTGGGGCAGTTAGGTTTTTAAATTAACTTTTTAGGTCAATTTATATTTTCATTGTCCCTTGATTAAAAAGTAGTACAGAGGGGAGAAAGCCAGAAATGAAATTTTGAGACAGGCCTGTAACAGTCATTGTGTGGTTTTGTTTAATACAAATATTACTGACTATACAGCAATACAGAGAACAGAAAGGACTAAATGCTTTTCAGCCTGTTTTCAGGTCTATAAGAGCCTGTTACCTGACTGAGCTGACTGCGTGCTCGGAGGCAAACACCGCCGCTCTGCCATGGCGGGCAGATTTCGGGGAGCGCTGACATGCTAGCCTGTGGTCAGGTTATTGATATAGCCCCTTACTAAGAGTGGGCTGGGGATGGAGCTAATTGAATCACCAATGAAAGTGATGTTGCCTAGTTTGATTTATATTTGACCAGGGAGAAGATGAAAAGTTGTGTGATGTGTTTGTTTTAAGCTCTTGGATGGGGCTGGTTCAATCTCCATTATTCAAGGGATTTTTTTCAGTTGCATGGTAAAACATGCAGTGCATCTCAGAGTGGAGGGAGGCTGCTGCATGAATTTAGGGAAACTGCCTATAGCAGAAAAAATAAATATTTTATATCTTATGGATTGTCTGAATGCCCTCCCTACAACTGCACAGTCAAATACTGATAGTTGATCTCTCCAGCATCATGAGAATCCAAACTGACTTTAATAGTAATTTCTTGGTACAACATGGCGGGTAGCAACAAGCTTTGACAATTCTTGCTATCAACAGCCAAGTAAAAAATCATGCTGCTTTTTTGGCGGCAGACTTGCTGGGGCAGACAGCTTTTGAGAAGTTTCATACAATTTTTGTGTCAGCTGAAATTCCTTTTTTCAATGAGGAACTGAAATTTCTCAGGAGGTACAGACTTTCTTCGTACAAAAAATAATTATAATTTTTGCATCAGCCTCTCACCACTGAGCACTGAAATATTAAGCAGCTTGAAAACTTGTGGGGAATATTGTCTGTTTTTCTGAGTTTTGCTTTCCCCACCTCCCATCGTGGTGGAGTTCTTGTGGGTGGGTGAGGCTCTTATCAGCCATCTTTCTGTAGTTGCTTAATTCCCAGGAAATTTCTGTTACAGCCTAAAAGTCTCTTTTATCTGTTTAACCTTCACCTAGCTCTTGCCTGGAGGCACTCACTGATGTGAACGTTATTTTATCCAGCCTGTTCTCTGATTTTTATCCAGCCTGATCAGAGATTTCTGAACATTTACCAAAGCCAGGGGGAGGGGGAAAGCCTGGATGTAGAATTGTTTCAGAAATACCATTAAATTAGAGGAAAATAAAAGCAGCATCAGTTAACAAGGTATCTCCTATAGATTTCCCTATCAGGAATGCTGTCAGTGTTGAACCTGGTTATCTGAATGACCAGCACCTCTGTTTGCACCCTCAGTCTGCCTGGCACCCCTGTTTGCCCACCAGACCCCCAGGAGGGTGGGAGCAGCCATGGGTGCAGCGCTTCTCCTTTCTCAGTCCCGAGTCTGCAAAATGCCTCAGGAATATTTTCCAAATCAAAAAGGCAGCAGGGATACTGCTGGAGAAAAATGCCCCAGTTCGTGTGTAAAGGCAAGGGGGGTGATTCTGGTGGAGGTCTCATGGTACCAGACTGGCTGTAGCTCCCTGGGTGCTGTATTGCTGCTGGCAGATGGATTTTCCTGCAAAAGCCCCTCTTTCTGAGAGCAGGGCTGGCTCCCAGCTAGCCCGGATGTGTTCTGCCATGGCGTGGCCCTTGCTCCGTCGCATAGCTTGTGCTATCCCGGGTGCTGCTGACGGTAACTCTGGGGCCAGGAAAACCCCTGTCTCAGAACAGGAATAAAGCATCTGTGACCAGTTAGATGATCCAGCAGCCAAAAAGGTCCCATGTCTAAAATTTACATATAAATAAGAACCAAAGGTTTGCATGCCCCATGAACAAGATACAGTATTTCTGCGAGTTCCCCTTGTGACCATAATTGTGGAGGTTAATTTAGGGATATGAAAAAGTTCATATCCTGCACCGTTGGAGGGGAAGGGCAGGCTGTGGGAGCCCACGGACAGCCCCTGCTCACACGGGAGACAGAGGAGCCGCGAGCTGCTCTGTTCAGGAGCAAGCCGCCACTGTTAGCAGAAAAGCTCAGGTGTTACATGTGAAGGAACGTATGTGTGAAACATGAAAACAACCTTTGTCAGCATTTTCTGACCTGAGGTGCTTCTACTGTCTTCTCTCTTGAGTATGGTGAAACCTGGAGTATTGACTTCATGGTGGTCTGTATTGAATACAGAAGCCTAAAGGCTGACGGCTGCTGAAATACTAACTGAGCAATGAAAACCAAATGGCATTTAGGAAAAAAACCACAAAACTAAGCGTATACGTAACCCTAGTAATAAAAGTTTAGGGTGAACTTCAAGGATATGTTTGACATGGAGAAACCCAGTTTAATTTGTGTCTACCTGCTTCCTCTAACCAATCTATTTAGCAAAAAGATTAATTAAGTATCTGTAGAAAAGATAACTCCTCCTCACAGTCTGTGTTGTTTCACAGAGTGATCCTTCCAGCCTTAACATGAACACGTTAAGAAAAGCTTGTGATATTTACCCTGCCTCTCTTGACTCAACTGGGGCCGCAGGTGTTTGCTGTGATGCAGTTATCTTTGCAGGGTGGAGGGAATGGGTCGGCGCAGAGCAAGCTGGGGAGTGGCGACTCAGCCAGACTTCGTATCTCTGAACACGGTTTGGGCTGAGACAGCAGTCACCAGTTACTGTACTTAGCTCAGGGCTTCCATCTTTCCCCTGGGTACCAGGATCAACAGGTCACGGTGCTGCAGTTTCTAAATTTGGCTCTGGCTGGTGCTTCTCCCAGGAGTGGGAGCAAGACCCAGTGCTGCGGTAAGCCCAGTGAAGTACTCGCAGCTGTTGGTCTCTTTGGGTGCTTTTCCCCTGGTAAGGGATGGTAACATCTCTTCAATGTTCCAGGCAGCTTCATGAGATAATTTATTTTTAAAAATCAATAAAAAAGGAGAAGGGAAAGCATTGTTCATGTCACAATGAAGAAGCCAGGGAGTTCTGCTGGAGGCTGAGCAGGAGCAGAGAAAGCAATGTACTCTCCCGAGCTGTTACTGACAGTGAGTAGAGTTGATGGACAGTGTCATGGAAACTTTTTACTCCCTGGGAATTTCTCATGCCCTAGTAAAAATTACTGCCAGACTTCAAATCAATTCTTAACCATGATAATTTGTTTTCCTGCCCATTGTGTGCTATGCATCACCTTGACCTTTTTTCTCGTTAACAGCATTGTGTTTCCTTAGCTTGCACAAAACGATGTAGCCTACCGGGAGGGGGAAGGGGAAAGTTTCATCATTTTTAAACTTTTCCCTTCCTGGATCACGAGCTTCTCCCCATCCAGGTGTGGGATTATAGCTGGGACCAACACATGGTCATTCCCCCTGGCCCCGAGTGCAGGGAAGGGCTCGGGTGAAAGCCAGCATCTCCAGCCCAGTGGGGGAGTCGCACACAATCAGCTTCCCTTTCCCAGGATCACTGGGTGCAGCCGACACTATTTGCAGAAATCCCACGTGTGCTGGTTCAGGGAGAGTCTATTTTCTGGTTTGGCCATTTCTGGGAATTTTTCAGACAAAGTACAACTAAGTGTACTGAGAAAGAAACCCGCTCTTTGAGCCCTAGGGACTAATTAGCCACAGAAGGAGGAAACAAAAGCAAATACAAACAGTACTGTAAGGGGCACAAAGTGAGAAGGAGTTATAGGGCCCCATTTTCACTGCATCAAGAAAGCGAAAGGAGAGAAATCTTTGCACAGCGCAGGTGACAGAAGAGCAGATAGATGGCCTTATAAAGCTTCTTCTACTCATCTGTTTTATTTAATGAGCAATGCTCTTCTACAGAGATGAGACCCTGACAGGCTCCTGATGGTACCAGCCAGGATCTAGTTGAGGAGTGTATTAGCTTAACAAATGTGAGCTAATGCCCCGTGTGCTTCGGGGGATGCAAACTCAGGTCAGCAAGGGGGTTTCAGAGCAGTCAAACAGACACAAGTTGTCATGGGAGGGTCTGTCTTTCCCCCTGCGCTACACATGAGCACTGTGTGAAGGCTCTGTCATTGTCCTGAGCAGGCAGCTGCCTGAGTGGAAATGGGACCCTGAATCTGCACATCTTTAGCCTTCAACTCATGGTGGGGATGAGGGCAATGCTTAGGGTGTGCTGCTGTGCCTGCTGACTCTGACAGGGCTGAAATTCACCTTTTTGGATGAATAAAAGGGATCATTTGTTGTGCACACAGCAATTTTTTTTAGACAGAGTTTCCAAAGGGAGGAAATACATGACTTGTATTCTGAGATGGAGCTGGGCAGGGCCAGAAATTAATGTCTTGCTGGAAAGGTACAGAGAATCACAGTAATTCGCTTACTGCACACGGTGTTAGAGATATTATCAAGCCTCTGTCTTGTGTTTGCCATCTGGTGAGGGTAGTCCTGAGTCCAGTCCTCTAGCTGGAAGTACAGCCCCAGCTACATCTACGGCCCCTTGCCTGGTACTCTCCTGCCATCTACTTTTTGGCTCTCTGCATGGCAGAGGAAAGGAAACTCAGGGTTTGAAGCAAGTTGTGCTGTCCCTGCTCCGGGGTCAGCTCCTCCAGTGTTTCTGGATAGATCCTCACTGGTCATGGTTCCCACCAGCTGTTAGGAGGGACAGGGTAGAACAGAAGAGTGACTGAAGGATTTGAAGGGGGTTTAAAACAGTAAATCAGGGAAGAGAAAGCTGATGTTGCAAAGAAGAGGAGTCACTGTGGGCAGTGCTCTGTGTGGGGGTATGGCGTAGGGTAGTGAAGGCTCACGTCCTTACAAGACTTGAGGTATCTGAATCAACTTCAGACAGTATCTGGTGCCTTCATGCTTGCCAGAACATTGATTTCTTCTCCTCTACATTTAACTTGCTGTTCATCAAATTATGTAATGGAAAGCAAGGATCCATCAGTTGCTATTTGGACATGTGGGAGGTTGGTTATACAACTTCCAAAAATTGGGACTTGTCAATTAAATTTGCTCCTTGTAGCCCTTTCAGTGGTTGTTTTTCAGTGATATCACTAATACACTCTTTATTTCCCCTCATTATATCTTTACTTATTGCATACATTGAGTCTGAGTAAACATAAGGATAACATTTTACTTACCTGTTTGTTCAGAAATATGTAGATGATGGGGTTATAGACTGTGCTGCTTTTGGCAAGGATGGATGGGATGATGCTGGCTGCAGGGGTGATGAGACCAGGTTTCCCAAATGTCGCTATAAGTGCCACAGTTGCATATGGCAGCCAGCAAAGGAGAAAGCAAATTACCATCACCACCACCATGATGAGGATGCGCCGTTCCCGGTTCCGGCCCATCCCTTTATTGATGCCACTCACCTGGGTGGGAGAGAGGCACAAAGATACTGTTAGCACTGCTCATACTGGGAGCAGATGATGATGCATGGGAGCTCCTGGAGTGACTGCACTAGGGGCAGGGTTGGCAGTGTCATCTGAAATGATGTTGGCTGGAGAAGAGCTGGCCAGCGTGGGGAGGACTTGTATGTTACGTACCCAAAGAGTGTACGCAACAGTTGGAGTAGGGTTAGTGATAGTGCTATTCATGTAGATAGAATAGCCTTCTCCAGCTTTCTCTAAATCATGGCATTTAATGTGAGTATCTTAGGCAGGAGGGAAGAAGGGGGGACCTGCCCTGGTCTAACTGGCCCTGGAGGGGAGTGGGACCCAGTGGTCCCAGGAGGACTGCTTGTATGAGTCCTACCAGGAGTGATGTACCCAGCCAAGGGTGAAATGCACTGTACCCAGAGCTACTGCGGCAGGGCAGGAGACGGACAAGAACATGAAGAACAAAGGTTTGAGAGAACTTTCTCCCCTGAACCCACTGGAAAAGTCAGCAATTGAATTAAACTGATTTGCAACAGGCTCCTTCTCTGGACTTGGGGCTCACGCATACTCATAAGTAAACCATACTGTATATAGATGCTGCTGGTTTATGCCTCACCCTTGTTTTCTAGTTTTCAGTATGTTTTGAAAATTGGACCTTTTACTGATTGCTATGTAACGCCTGGACTGCAAAGTGCTGCAGTAAGCACAAGAAACCACTACAAGCAGTTTTATGGGAATCCAGTGGGATGTATTTGTGTCCTGCAAGTCACCTTGAGACTAATTAAAAAACCAAACCCAAACTGTTCAAAAAGTAGAACATATCTGTAATTGCCTGCAGAGGGAACTCGAGTACCAAGTACTTTATAAATATCCTGTTAATGTGCAAATGAAATTTTTTATGACACTTGTCTGTGATTTAAAGAAAAAAAGTGGGATTTGCCACTAGGCAAATAAAGCTGTTAATCAAAATATTTCCATTAGTGAGAGGTGAATATTTCACTCAGAGACATCCATAGGCATCAGTAGCTCAGATTTATTCACAGACATCTCAGACAGAAAGCTCACATTTATCTTCTTATATTGTATTTCCTGAAGTTGATATGAATTCTGTATGGCATCTTCCCTGTGCTCAGATTTTTTGAAAGTCTGCCACAACTTGGTGTAAAACTTTACAAGATGCTCAGGCTGTGTGATGAATTTGAAACAGCTGGATTGGGGGATGTGTGTACAGGGATGGAGATGAAAGAGGAGTTGCATTTTGCATTGTATGCACTTGAGTTTTAGGCTCCTGAGAAGAGGCACTGAAAGGCATCAGCAGCTGGCTGCCAGGGTCCTTTATCCCCACACAAAATCCCGGTTTCTTTGTGCCTTCCTTAGACCTTTGTGCCTTTCTTTGTGCCTTCCTTAGACCCTCTTCTCCACCCTCCCATGCCAGGATACACCCAGGGCAGTGGTGGGTGATGGCTTGTGAGTGGTGCACCTTGAGGAAAACCAAAGCTCCTTTTTTTCCACTAGTTTCTATTGATTTTAGAAAAGGCAACCCAACAAACCTTTCCTCTTCCTTCAGGCAAGGTCAGAGAAGACAAATGTTATCCACGTGTTTTCCAGATGAAAATCAGGCTGGGTGTGAGAGGCGGACTCTGGAGGTATTTCCCATTTAATAACCTTTAGCAGAGCTCAGGTCATAGGGCAGCTGGTGTAATGCTTGGTCGCCACATCTCTTCTAAATATCCTGATGCAGCGTGGCACACAGCTAAATGGGGAGAAACAGCTGCTTTTTGTCACAGGTTGAACACCGATGTAAAGTGAGTGGGGTACATCTGATGATGCATGTTCTACTAGCCCAACCCTTCTCAGGCAAACCTGTATCATGTATTGCTCTTTTTTCTTTGTAACTATGTCATCCTTTCCTAAAAAAAGAAAAGCTTGCAGTTTTCAGACTGATGCTGCCAGGGAATGGCTTCATGGGTAAGCAAGGAAAGGTGATAATAGGAAATTATTCTTTTCATCCTACGAGGCCAGAAAGTTTGAATATCCTCCCACTTCTGTTATTCTCCTTGAAGCATTTTTGCTTTCAGTTATGACGCTCCTCTGGTCAGTCAAGGAAACCTGAGACCTTGATATTAATGTTCAAGGCACATGTGGAAAACTTTGCAAAACTAAACAAACTCAGCAACCTTGGAAAGCTGCTGGCCCATCGTCAGCAGATGGTGACTCGGATGCACCACATAACTCCAGGGCCGTGCCTAGACTTGCCATCGGATCAGCTTCTGTAGATAGACAAAAGCAGAGAGCTGTGGGATGCTGATGAGTGATGCTGTGGGTTTCTAGTTTAACATGATAACTCCCAGGGAAAGTAAGAGCACCAGTCTGACCCAGGTAGCTTGTCTGTAGCTGCTGGCCCGTAGAGGTTGGAAAGTCAGCCCAGGCTGTTTCTGACTTAAGGCTAACAGCAGTGATGCTGCTGCAGGAATTTAGTGACAGGTAAACCTGGCAGTGCACTGAGCTGGAAAGTGTCCTTCACTCCTGGTTTGGTCAAAATCTAAACCTCAATCTGCTGTGCAAGAAATTTAAAAAAAAAAAAAAAAAAAAAAAAAAAAAAGAAGCAAAAAAGCAAAAAAACCTTATTATTTCTGTAGGTTTTGGTATAGAAAACAGCCACAGGAAATGTGCTTTTATAGCTTTTTATTTTCTTTGCTGGAAATTGAGTCTCTGTTTCTCCTAAAAATGATCTTTTCACTTTTCTAAAATTTATGAAGCTTCTGTATCACTCATTCCATATGTTGCATGTGTGGTCCAGTGTACCAAGTTAGCAGGATTGGGGGGTTCATCTCCAGTGTAGTTGGAGGCCTTGGTCACATCTTGTTCTTACAGTGATGTTTTCAGATGCTTCCCATAGGTGTGAATTTTTACATGGAAAACTTAACAAAAAGATCAGGAATAGCTGGTAATCTCTGCAGACAGCTGCCATACCCAGTTGAGATCCTGACCACATTTCTCCTGGGCTGTGCTCAGCATTCAGTCCCTGCCATGGGCAGGCAGTAAAGGCTGACGCTGGGAACCACTGCTGAGTAGTGAGATGATGGTTTCCCAATGGGCTGGAGTCATGTTCCATGACAGCTTATGTGAGCAGAAAGAAGCCTAATGTACTAGAAATGTTACTGTGCGCTCGTTCTGCATGCAAGCTGTCCTTTCTGTCCGAGAACTTCCCATAACAGCCTCACTGTGCCCTTTCCAACTAAAACTCAGCTGACACTTGATCGCAAAGATGCCAAACACTCGGGCCAATGAAGTATTTAATCTCATACATGATATAGGCCTTGCTATAAGAGCTGATGGAATACGCTCTCTCTTAATGCAATCCACGACTTCGGGGGTTGCTGGATGCAGCAGGAGTTTGTTGCGCTGATTGTTTGTCTCTGCCTGGGACATTATAAACCACGATTGCCTGTGCTATGGATTAACTGCTGCTATTAGACAGGATCCATGGTGGAGATGGCCATGAACACAGGAGAAGGACAGTCCCTGGGCTGAGATCTGTCTTTTAATAGCTAAATTACTTTCTACAGAAAAGCAGAAAATCACCTCTAGATGGTGATTCAGCTTGCAGAAGTCATTCATTTGCCTCTCTTTTTTTCTCACTGAGCATAACTGGGAACTTAAACACCTACCTTCCTAGTGTAGGAGCGGAAGTGCTCACAAATACAGTGCTTGTGTGGCACTGGGTGTCAGACAGGAGAAGGGCATGGATGAAAGACAGATGCAGCAAACATTAAGAACAGGTTTAAACAGAGGTCACTGTGGGCACAGCAAATTCCTGGTTGATATTGCTGACACATACTGTGCAGAAATAACAGAGTCATCACATTGCTAGGAAAGTAAAAATATGCATTTTCAGCAATGGGTATGGAAATTGCTCAGTAACATCCAACACCAGAGAGCACAGCTGAGCATACCCACGGCTGCCTGGGAGCTTTAGCCATGAAGCTCCCACTGGGACTAATTCCTGAATCCCCAGGATGATCTGAGAATCTCAGCTGTGTGACTGACTGTGTTTTCTCTGGGTTTTGGGTTGGTTGGTTTTTTTGAAACCACCATAGTATTTAGAGTTTGGAGAGTTGACAAAGACACTCATGGGACTAGGAGGATGATCTGAGAGAAAAGTTGGAACAAAGGGAGACAGAGGGAAAGAACTCTACCAAACTGGGTATGTGGTGGCCTGAGCACACCACATGAGACCCATGGCTTATGGGAGCAAAGCTGCTGTATTTCTCTAAAACGGGGGGCACAGACACCCCTGAGCTGTGGCAGCAGCTGAACCACCTTCAGACATGACTACCTGTTCATCAAGAAGTAGATCCTAAGAGCTATGAAATCAGATATAACCCTGTTATACTCTGCCCTGGTGAATTAATAGCTGCAGTTACTTGAATACATACAAGAGAACCAGACGATCACCTTGTAAAGTTGCAATTAAATTGCATTGCCTGTACATTAAAGGTCAATCCAATTTCTTCTAAAGTGGATGTGAGACTTCCTGATAGTTCTTGTACATCAGCTGATGCCCTACTTTTAGGAATTGATGAATTTAGGTAGTGGGTTTGCAATAGATACATTGGATGTTCAGGGGAAACTCTCAACCCTTTGAAGTGTTACTGAGCTGTCTGTTCTTGGTTGATGCTCATAACTCAGGTCAGGAGATCTTTGGGCATGCACATCAATACATCTGGGTGCTGCTTGGAAAGAGCTATTAGGTGCTTAAAATGACATCAGGTGTATCCTGTGCACAAACCAGGCTGCCAAGGGAGCCTGGCGAGCATGGACAGGAGGTCCAGAGTCCATGAGACCTCTTAGCATGAGAATGGCCTACCTCTGCAAGAGCCTCCCAGTTTCACTGCTTGTCCCTGCAGAAGGTGCTGGTGCATTTTCTGTGACTTAGAGGACTGATAAACTTCCATTTCACAGCTTGCCTTTATAAACATAGAGGGCCCCAT